ATAGATAGATAGATAGATAGATAGATAGATAGATAGATAGATAGATAAGTGAATTAATAATGAGTAAATAAATAAGGAAAGAAGGAAAAAAGGAAGGAAAGAGGGGAGGGAGAAAGGGAGGAAAGGAAGGACGGAGGAAGGGAAAGGAGCCTCTTGCAGAGTATCTTTGGTCAGTTCGCAGTACCTATGCTGGTGGCTCACAACCATCTGCATCTCCAGCCCCAGGGAATCTAATGTCATCTTTTGAACTCAGTGGGCACCCGCGCATGTACACTCAAATCCACTCAGTGACACATTCAGGTACACATTAATTACAAACAATGAAAATAAATCTTGTTTAAAAAACACATAAATGCAAGTACATCTATGTCTACTGGTATAATAATATATAAGAGAAAAGCATTGCACATCAGTGGGAAAGGAGGAAGTAATTTTGGGAGAACTAGTTCTATCCAGGACAACTGGCTTCCACTTGGCATTAAATAAAAGTAGATACTAATGTAATACCATATACTAAATAGTTGTGTTTCTGGATATGTGGGAATAGGTTCCAGGACCACCTGAGGATATCAAAGCTCATATGATCAGGTCCTTATATGAAATGGATTGTTCTGCATATAATTGTAAACACAATGGAAATGAGCTATTTCTTGGTATTGTTTAGAAAATGAGGCCAAGAATAGAATAGCTATAAAACAGCTATATGTAGGTACATATCTGTACCTACAGCCTACATAGTCAGTAGGTACAGATATACAACAGTAATTGGACTCAACAGGATAGAGATCACAGACAGACAGACACACACACACACACAGAGCACATATAAACTGGAGAGGGGTGCATGGAAAGAGTTGAAGAGAAAGAATATGATCAAAATACATTGTATTCAAGTATGAAATCTGAAAGGAAGGAAAGGAGGGAGGAAAGAAGGAAGGATTGAATAGCAAGGTGTGTAACAATGAGATATTTACAAAGTGGAGCCAACTAAGAACAGTGTGACAGAAGTGTCTGTCTTTCTGTATAGTCTCAAATGGGGGAGGCTAAAAGGACTGTGAAAACTATAAGGAGCTACTGAATCACAGGACTCAAGTCAAAGCATGAACATCATAAGCCGTGCTGCAGGGGGAAAAGGGGAAAAGACACCAACACAGATGAACAAACAAGAATGAAAAATCCTAAGTAACTAATTGAGCAATAACTTCAAAGTGCAGGTTCACTATGTTTTTTTCTACTTCTAACAACTAACACTAATATGAGAAGGTTGGGTTTTTAGTTCCTCTTTTAATTCAAGTTTTTCTGGAAAAGGTACAAGGGAAAGAACTGGGTATTAAAACAACTAGTCACCAGAAGAAAGGGTGCTGGGTTTAGAAAAGTTCAAAAGATAGTGACTCCAGAACAAAGTGATGGTCAAAAAGTCTATGAAAATATGACTCTTAATCTAGTATCTATGAGGCTGTGTTTATTTTTAATCCTCTCTTCATAGCTGTGATGGTTTGAACAAGAAAAGCCCCACAAAGTCCTGAGCATCTGAATGCCTGGTTCCCAGTTGGTGGCGCTGTGTGGGGAGGTTTAGGTGGTGCAGCCTGGCTGGGGTGAGCTCTGAGATTGTGTCTTGTGTCACATCTAGTTTGCTCTCTGTACTTGTGCTGGTATAATGTTCTTTTGGAATATATATACACTTTACCCTTGTTCATTCAAATGCTGATTTCTCTCCCCCACTCTCTGGTTTCAATCCAGACATTGCATTGTGATATTTATTCTAAGCATCACCTGTCTCAACTTTGTGTAAACATGCCAACTAGCCACAATGTTGAGCAATGGAAAGGAAGCAGGAAGAGGGAGGAGCCAGAGGACAGGAAGGTTGGAAGCAGAGGAGGAGGGAAAGGCAGACAAGAGCTGGGAGAACAGAGGAAGGAGCTTAGAATGACGTGGAGAGATGGACTGGACCTAAGATGTCACTAAGAGCAGGTACAATGTGGGAAATGTAAATGTTAGGAAACTATGCGGGCTCGGAGGTTTGGTACGGGGCAACTATTGCCCAGCCTTGTGCTCTAGGGTAACTAAACAAGTCATGGTCTCTGTGTGGTGTATATTTGGGTATACAGCTGTTTAGGATTAACAGCAGCTTTAATAAAAGATAAACCAATAGCAAATATTAATCGTCACTTACAACACACTTTCGTCTTGTAGCTTGAGATACAGGCTCTCAGCTCCTGTTCCTGCCACCTGCCTGCAGAAAGGTCTCCCTTCCATAATGGACTCGAATCTCTAGCACCATAAAGCAAAATAATCTATCTTCCATACATTACTCTTGATCATGGTATTTTAACACAGCAACAGAAAAGGAGCTAAATACAAAACTGTAAGAAAAAAATTTACAGGAAAACATAGTCAAAATAAAGGGAGCATCTCTTATTACCACTGCTCTGTAGATGCTGTTATGGAGAGTAAGAACCTACATAGAGCAAGAGCCACTCTCAGAACCAGAAGTGGACGATTTTAATAACCAGCATTGACTCAAGAACAACATAAATCATAAGTAGCATTAATAACTTTACATATGCATACAAAGAAAATTTTAACACTGAAAATGTTCTACAATTTAAAATGATTAAAAAAAATTTTCCAAAGCCTGTTTCTAAAGGCTTGAATGGTAGAGATGTTATCTGAAGACTTTTCACAGTGAGGGTGCTTTTCCAAAGTGTTCATGACCACACAAACATACAAGTGACTCATGAGAGCCGCCTCAGATTTAGCTACTAACAAAGAGAACATTTTCAGGTCCTCATTTTGGCCTATAAAAGATGCATGAGTTGGTAGAACTAAGCAGAAAACTTAAATCAGAGAAAGCATTTAAACCACAAGTATTAGAAAAACTTCAGGAAGGCAGCATAGTAATCTTTAAAAAAAAAAAAATAAACCTCATTCAATTTTAACTTAGTCACTCATAGTGAATATATCTCTATCTTAACTACTTTTTTGCAGACTACAAAGAAAATAAGAACCATAAAGGCCCATTAGGACATCCAGCTACAGCTGAGCCACCACCCTGTGAAGTTCTCTGGACCTAATGTAGGCCCTTGGTCTCTGTCTGACAACAGGCTAAGGACAAGGTCATCTTAGCAGAGCGACAGGTAGAAGTGAGTTCTGGGGAAATTAAGGAAAGCCCCTGACAAAAAAAAGCAAAGTGAAACTTTTCACATGTTTTTTCTTTTCTTTTCTTTTTTTTTTTCCTAAGAAAAGATTTCCTTTTTGTGAAGCTGGAGAAGAGACTCAGGGACTAAGAGCACACATTGACCTTGCAGAGGACCCAAGTCCAATCCCCAGCACCCATGTGGGGTAACTCCAGCTCCAATGGGATCCACTGCTCTGACCTCAGCACTCAAGTGTGAACGCATGTGCACGTACACTTAATTTTGTACATATTTTAAAACAATACATCTTAAGAAGATATTTTTATTCCTTGCACCAAATACATAAACTTTTTACATCTATGAGATAATTTTATATTAATTTTCTTTCCTTTAAAATTTAAGGTACATTTTTAAAAATTATCCACTAATTTAGAAGCAACTGAGGAAAAATACAAGCTCAAGTCCAGGGTCCATTATTTTAGAGATACAGATTCCTGCAAGGAGCTACTGGTACAAAGGTGGTAATTATTTCCTCCCTGTATCCCCCTGTGCCAGGAATGTCTACAAAGTGTTCATCTTGTATCACTAACCCACTTGCAACTATTGCCAGGCCAAGGAAGAAGTCCTTTCCATTGGAGCAACCCAACTCAGGAAAAGTCTAGTGTCAAAGTACACTCAACAGCATGCTGCTCTTGCTGCTGTTTGCCAAGGTGAGGCTTCCAGCAAATAACCACATGGCTGCTTCGGAAACTCTGAAGTAGGCCTATAGATGTCTGCAGGAAAATATTCTAAGGGTCTGGTAAAGAAAAGCTCACAAAATGACATCCAGAATACATTGGCCCCAAACCAGTAGTAAACAGGTACAGAGTTTTGAGTGCTAATGTTCTTAGGATACATAGTATATTCACATTCAGCTAGACATGCTGTCATTGTTTAGTGTCATCCTGGAAGAGACAGCATTGCCCAACCTTACAGCTTAGGGGAAGTATCATCAATGACTCTTGAATGAAAAGAACAAAAGCAGGAACTGAAAACAGCATATTTATATATCTTAGCTACATTGAGAAAGGCAACTACAATTACTCTGCTGAAAATTGAACACACTTTGAAGTTTAATCATCAGTGTCAGGGTAGGAAGGGCCTGACATTATCACTCTAAAACTTTACAAATTAGGAAGCAGAAGTTCAAATTGAGACGCTTGTCCGCAGTTGTGTGGCTCTGTGATTAAGTCTGTACTTTCCTGAGGCCACCACAATAGTACCAACAGCTAGGTGACTTAAGCCAACAAAAGCTGTCCCAATTCCAAGGCCAAGCCCTCTGAAATTAAGGTTTTCCTGTGGATGTTTTCTCTGACGGCTGTGTAGAAAAAGCTATTCCTTTCCTCTCTCTAGGTTTCCAGTGGCTTAGGTGCCCTATAGCTTTTTGAGAGAATTCTTCATAACATCATCACCACCTAGGTGTCTGTCTCTCTGCCCAAATTTACACTTCCTACAGGAACCATACAAATGACTTAGGTTACCTATTTCCAAGCCATATCCTCCATATGAGGTCACATTCCAAGTACTGAGTGTTAGTTAGCACACAGGGCTGGTGAATGGCTCAGTGCATAAAAGTGCTTGCCACACAAGCCTGGTAACATAAATTTAATTCCTAGAACTTATCTAAAGGTGAAGAGAACTGACTCCACAAAGTTGTCTTCTGATCTCTGCAAGTCCATTATATCATATCCAGCATGACTAGCAAATAATAATAATAATAATAATAATAATAATAATAATAATATGAAAAAAAAGAATGTCAACACACGATTTTTAAAGACAAAAAATATCAAAAAAATAATTAAAAATTTAAATTAACGTAAACTTAAAAATCTCGAAAAAAGAATTCTACTCAGGACCTAGGAAAATCCAGTCCTCCCAACTCAGGCCAGTGACCGTTTCCATTATAGGATTTCTCCCTCTTAGGCTACTGCAGGCTGTGCAGGTAAGTGGCTCTACTTAAATTCATATGTGGCTTCCACACAAAAGCTCATACCTTACAACAACAAAACTTTAACCAGCCTGTACACAGAAGCCATTACTCATCTTGTCATAAATGTATTTTATTTTCCTCCCTCAAAATAATGCCTGTTATGCATTTGCTAACATACCTAAATATTTGCTAAATAAATACTTGCTAAAATACCTAGTGTTCAGAGAAAGGTGTATGATAAACTATTACTGTGGAGGAACAAATGAAACGTGCACTGTGCCCATGGCCTTCCTCCATGCAGCACAGCTCCCCAGAAAAGCAAATGTGTGCTTGTTTCCCTTGCTGAGAAGAAACCTTAGGTCCTGGAATTGCCAACAGACTCTGATGTCACCCGCTGCTTGGCTGGCACATAAGGCATGCTCAGAGGCACTGAGACCACAGCTCATCTGTGACCCTGGGCTTCAGCTTGGTGGCCTTCGAAAAAGGCCTCTGCTGGAACTATTCAATCATCACTCCCCCTGCTGCCTAAGTATTCTTGAGTCTGAAGATCATATTGTCTCACGATTTTCCATTATAAATTAATGACATCTGTAATACTGAGTCATAAAATCTCAGTCCAAAGAACCATATTAAAAATTACATGGAACTGAATTCTCTAAGTGGCCTCTTGACAAACACATTACCCACCCTTTTCCATTAAGGCCTTTAGAATCCTGATCTACAGCTGGCCTTGGAAAATTGGGAATTAAGTTTAACTGCAGAAGAACAGCACAGTTTTTTAAAGTAACAAATATGAAGTGAGGAGCATTAGACTAGGTTTTGATTTTGTTGTTTTTGTTTTTAACCTTTCAAGAACTAATGTACTAAGGACTCATTTTTCCATGGAGGACAGGGACATTGCGAGCTGGAAGGACATGTGATCTGCTCTAACCCAAACCTCTGTTCACTGAGTGAGACACTAAAGCCCAAAGAACCAAGCAAGCAAAGTAACCGACAATACTCACTCCTTTTCTGACTATTAATGTGTGTGGGGAAGATCAGCATCAAGGCCAGAATTCAACAGCCCTAATATGAAAAAGTAGGGTGACAAACTACTTGGGTCACAAACCCAAGCATGTAATCAACTACTGATACTATGCCAACTGAAAACATTGTCAACTGTCTTCTAAATACTTCTATTTGAACCCATAATCTGTACTACTCTGAGTCTTCCTTACAGAATCTTCTTATTGCAGCAGGCATAGGCTAATGCAGAGACCATAATTCATCAAAGTGCCAAAAATACATTACTTTTGAGGGTGTGGCCCTATATCACATATCTTCACACACCCAAAGCTCAAGAAAATGCTTGCTAACAAGCATGAAAGAAATAAGGTGAAGATGCCAGGACTGGTGATGCATGTGTTTAACCGTAGCACACAGGGGGCAGAGGATCTCTGAAGTTGAGGATAAGCCAATCTACAAATTGAGTTTGAGGGCCATCCAATTTACATATCAAGTTCCAGCCTTGTCTTAGATAGATAGATAGATAGATAGATAGATAGATAGATAGATAGACGATAGATAGATAGATAGATAGATAGATAGATAGATAGATAGATAGATGGATGGATGGACGGATAGATAGATAGATAGGTAGATAGATGGATAGATAGACAGACAGACAGATAGGTATAAAGAACAACTTAGGAAGACATCAATATTGATCTTCCATGATAAAAACACAGACACATACAGGAATATGTACAAATCTATACATCACACACACACAAACGTACAAATCCATATCACACACATGAATATGTGCATACACATACATCACACATAGTGATGTATCCAAAGTAAGACTTAATGCTAATGGAGGCAGAATAAGGGTATGTTTGTTCAGATGTCCCTTTGACACCCTGCCTTCAGAGTTAGGGACTTTTTTCCCTCTGAGTATAGGGAGGGTTCTTCCAGAACAAAAATCTTACAACTTTCTCAAGAAAAAGATCAGAACTACCTCTCAGGCCAGGGAGAGCAAGACAATCAACTGTTTCTGATGCATCACAAATCCCAGTGTCATATCTAGGGTTCTGTGTTCTTAATCCTATGTTTCACAGATGTCATTGCATTGCAGCTGGGGATAAGATCCCTGAACCCCATCACTGAGGCAGAATTTTTATAGGAATTTATTTATTTATTTGCTTCTACTTTCTTTTATAGCCAAGAACTAATAAAAACCTAACTTTGCATTGAATGGATTTGGCATCTTTGCCAAAAATCAGGTGTCCATAAGTGTGTGGATTTATGTAACGGTCTTCTATTCGATTCCATTGATCCACCAGTCTGTTTCTATGCCAATACCATGCAGTTTTTAGTATTGTTGCTCTATAGTACAGTTTGAGATCAAGGATGGAGATACCTCCTGAAGATCTTTTACTGTAGAGAATTGTTTTAGCAATTCTGGGTTTCTTCTTGTTCCATATGAAGGTGAGAATTTTTCTTTCAAGGTCTGTAAAGAATTGTGTTGGTAATTTGATGGGAATTGCATTGAATCTGTAGATTGCTTTTGGTAAAATGGCCATTTTTATTATATTAATCCTGCCAAGCCATGAGCATGGGAGCTCTTTCCATCTTCTGATATCTTCTTCTAATTCTTTCTTCAGAGACTGGAAATTTTTCTCATACAAGTCTTTGACTTGCTTGGTTAGGTTCAAACCAAGGTACTTTATGTCCTTTGTGGCTATTGTGAAGGGTGTTGTTTCCCTAATTTCTTTCTCTGCCCTTTTGTCCTTTGTATACAGGAAGGCTACTGATTTTTTTGAGTTAATTTTGTGTCCAGCCAGTTTGCTGAAGGTTTTAATTAGCTGTAGGAGTTCTCTGGTAGAGTTTTTGGGGTCACTCAGGTATACTATCATATCATCTGCAAATAGTGATACTTTGACTTCTCCTTTTCCAATTGCAACACCCAGGCTATTTTCATCTAAATAGTACCCAATCCATACTAAAAATTCTCCTTGATAATCATATTTTTACTATTAAAACTAAAGAGAACACACTCAACCCATAAAATTGTGACATTATTTCCTCCGTGTTATAGATCATGACAATAAATGAATCAACAAGCACAAAAGATGAGGAGATAAACTAGTAAGTTAACCATCCTGAAAACTCACCGAGGCCTCTCAACCTGGAAAAAAGGCCACTGAACAAATATGACGACTGTGATCCTAGCACCTAAAAGGCAGAGGCAGGAGGATGCTGCCAATTCTTGGCCAGGTGGGTCACAGGGTAAGATCCACTGTTTCTATCAATATATAACTTCAGCTTTAGGCTGAGGTGCTGCCCAGTGCTATGAGTATGAGTTCAGCACATGAGGCTCTAAGTTTCTTCCCATTTTTCTGAGGATTGTGTCTGTTGGTTTAGACTTCAATGGTCTTGTCTTAAGGCTAAATCCAGCAATGAAGTACAGGCTGCCATGAACTCCAAACAATCTTCTTGCATCAGTCTGCCTGGTGTTGGAATGACAGACATGCGCTGCTGAGAAGACTCTTGGTTTGAACTTTTGTACCACAATAATAAATAAATAGAACTGCTTCATTAGCATAAATTTGCATACCACAAAATCATCACTTCATGAGTTTTGGTAAATGTATTCAGCTATAGGGCTTTCTCCATAATCTAATTTTAAAGCACTTCCATCACTTCCAACAGTTCTACCCACCTTTCTTCCGTAAGCTGTGGAAAATGGCTATTTGGGAAGCAGAGTTAACTACAGGGAGGGGAGGTGTCCAGTCTAGCCTGACCCTGCCACTCCAACAAGAAGCCCACTATGAACTAGAGTTCCACCACAACGCTAGGTGAAGGCCGACAACCATCTCACTCCAACTGAACTTTTCCTGCAGAGACCATCTTTTCCAGCTCTAGAAAGATTAACCAAATGCCAAGTCCTCAAATGATACCTTTAAGAAAAATCAAATCAGCATCAAATACAGAGGGAAGAATGTAAATATTCATTTACAGTATCTGAGACAGGCAGGATGTGTGAAAGAAGCACACAAAACCAAGATTAAGGTTCACAGCACAGCTTTCATCCTGCTTCCATCAAAGGCACAACACAAAAAGAAAACAGCATCAGAAGGCATATGCCCAGCCCCCAAGGGAACAGAATAAAGAAACAGGAATGCCCAGTTCTACAAAGGAGGCTGGGGCCCAGAACTGACCTTTGACCACCTCAATCCTCCATGCATCTATTTCCCTAAAGGTCTTTTCTAAATGGCAAGGGCTATGAAAACAAGAGCCAGGAGATTCCGGTTCTCACTCTAAATTACTCCTGCCCTCCTACTTCCTAAAATAATGTGCTTTAGTGGAGTTTGTAAAAGGTAGTTATGGGTATTAATGGTTTTAAATTATAAATCACTATAAGTAGTTGTCTTATTACTAGATAAGATGATTCTAAATCTGTATCTTTCTACAAGAATACAGAGAGCAGTGTCGATCTGCATCAAGGTGTGTGGCTTTACTTCCGAGAATAGCTTGAAAGCTGACTCTCTACCTCTGTCATAAGCAGGGGACTCGGTCTCCACTTGGTCTCTCTGTAGAAACTGGTCAGCAATATGGCATGGTTCCAGCATTGTAAGAGTGAAAGCAAGTGACCTGAAAGCACCTGTTGTCATAAGTAGCTGGTTAAATGTTGGCTGCCTTCTTTTGCTTTCACAAAAGCTCTTAATGAAAGTTTGTAACAAGAAACCACTATGCACCTGTAACCCCAGCAGTTGGGAAGTGGAGTCAGGAGGATCAGGAGTTCAAGGCCAGCCTATGGCTCTGTCTCAAAACAATCAACCACGTAAGAAAAGAAATATAAAACCCTTGAATTTGCTGGACATATCAGCATATGCCCTTAATCCCAGTACTTAGGGGAGGCAGGTCTCTGTGAGTTCAAGGCCAGCCTCTCTATCAACTGAGTTCCAGGCAGCCAAGGGTTTAAACTGATGAAATAAAACGTCAATGAAGATGAAGAGCAATCTAAGTAATCGTAAAACTGGTTCATTTCTAGATGGTATCTTTAATTGTCTAAAGTGAAGGCTTGCTTAGTAAGTACTATAATTGAAAAGTCCTGTCAGACACTGTTTGGTTTGAACATTAAACACCTCCTATAGGTTTAGGTACTCAAAGGTCAGTCCCCACCGGCCTGCTGGTGCAATTTTAAGAGGCACAGGAAATTTTAGGAAACCGGACCTCAAGGGGGCAAGTAAGTCACAGGAGACAGTCTTGAGGAGCTAGATCTTTTTCCATCAGTCAGTCTACCTGACTGTCCTTGTGTTTGATTCTGGGGTTGTCTATGTTTCTTTCTTCCTCTGTCTGGGGGAGAGGGCACATGTACACACATGTACAGACAGGTACACACGTGTAGATGGGTTTTATATGTTTTCTGCAATCCAAGAGACCAAATCCAGGGCTCAGTGCATGTCAGACAAGCACTGGGGTATACCCATCTCTTACACATGTAGTAATATGACTCAGGATTTTAACGAGACTGAGGAAGGAGAGAAGACATTTTTGGTGTTACGAAGAAACCTGTGACTGGTACTGAGCTCCGAAAAAATCCAGATGAAATACATGGGTGTTAGTGTTAGACTGGTACTTTTTAAAATCAGTATTCAGACTGAATAAAGCTCATTTAAAACTCCCCACAATATTGAAAATGGATGATGGGAACATTAATGTTCACCACATTCCTCCCCTTCCGCAAAATTTTCCATAAAAGGTTTTCTTCAAAAATCTACACATATATACCCTTCCCGTGATCCCTGCTGTGCATGGCTGATTAATATAAATTTTACAGAACACACCCTTCTATGGATAATTTTAACTTTTCCTAAAAATAAACATTCTAGTCACCAACCCAAGAATGGGGCAGTGGCTCAGGAATGTGTTGTCATGGCAGATGGAGAGTCGGCCATTGTGGGAAGTGAAAGAGAAGCAGGCAGCACGGAACTGCTGCAGCAGTAGTAGGCATTTCATCAACTGCTGGAAATAATAAGCAGCCAGTAGCAAATACCACTCATCAGTGGCATTAAAAACGCTGACGCTATAGCACATCTCCAATTGTTTTACATACTGGAGGAAGTATGCACAGAGTGCTGAGTCAGAAACAAATATGCAGACTCATAGGTGACTAATGACTCTCTGGAATGCATTTAGTGCTTCAAAATTTAAGATTTAAGACCCAAGTCATACTACTGAAGACTGAGTATCCTCTCCTGACACATAATATCACCTACAGAGTAGACATCCAGAAATTCTACTAGAGTGACTTGACATACTCTTTACTACTCTTCTGCAGTGTTATGTTTAATCACAATAATACATACACACGGAGGGTTGTGACTAACACTAACTTGCCTCAACCTTCTCGCTAATAATAAAACCAGCTGTAAACTGCATGGAAAGCAGTGGTGACTGTCCTTGCCTCCAGGAACCCAGAGAATTCTCAAAGATCAGATTTATTATAGCTCTCTCTTAAATGTCACTGAGATCCCTCCACAACCATTCATTATTATGAGCTGCAGGAATGTAGGTGTATGGAATTGCCAAGATAAAAAAAAAAAAAAGCCATCTTTACAAGTCTCTAACTCAGAAAACAGAGTGTATGTCATCTGGAGGTGTGTTTTGGACAGATGCCACACCCGAGGGTGGGCAGTGGTGACACATATGTGCGTAGTGGCGCTGCCCTTGAACCACAGTTGATGCAGTCAATCTCCACATCTGTTCAACTAGCTTTCAGAAGTTTGGCAGTAGCATAGCACTCTTGCAGGATATGTCACTTGGGGAATGGGTCAACTGTGTCCTACAAAGCGCACTGAGAAGCAGTCAGATACCAGCAGAGAGGGAGTAACATAGAAATGTAGAGATTACAATCCTCTAAAACAGGCCCACAGTAGAGCTGCCTTGAAGTAGGGTCACTGGCAGCCAAAAGCTGTCCCCAAAGCTCACAAAGCTTCACAAAGCTCAACAGTACTTTGTCAATTCATTCTGAGTCACTCACAGCTCTCAAGTCATAAAATACTTTTTCCCAGTTCCATTTAAGTTTGGGAGGATTTGCTACTTCCTTCAGAAGAGACTTGACTAACCATTATACCAGGCTAACATACTCTTTATTGCCTCTATATTAAGTTCTCTGGGCAACTTTTGCATTGCTTGACCGCAGAGATTTTCATCTCATCCCATGGGAACAGTTAACTTATATGGTCCCCTCCACTCTTGTCCCAAAACAGTGAAAGGCATGAGGGTGAGCGGCAAGACTGCTATGGAGCACAACAGGGAAGATAAGCCTTCCCACATGGACATACCTAAGCCCATAGCTTCCCAGAAGAAAGAAAAGGCAAAGGTGGCCAGGCCTGAAAATGCAGGTGCTAACAAGAAGCCAAAGCAAGTCATGGCAAGGGCTCAGCAGTCAGTGTCATCTCAGAAAGCACCGCTGCCTCTGAATCAGGAGGCTCTAAACACAAGCTAAAATGCTTCTCACTTTGAGGGCTGGGCTTAAAGCAGAAGTAAAGAAAGCAGCCAGCAGACATGGAAAAGCCCAGGCTGGCTCAGACACAGGGCCTAGATCTAGGGCCCTTCTGGCCTTCCTTTTGGGGTTAGCCATGATCACGAAAGAACAAAGAGAAAACTCTACATGGAGCAGAACAACGGTGCTCTTGGAGGACTCCTTAATGGCACTGGAGACCCCAGCAAACACTGTGTATAACTCCATCATGTGGTTAACAATCTTCACCTTCAGAACCATCTGAAAACTTTGCTTGTACAGGTCTTCCTTCCCTAGATTCACAATACAGTTAGATTAAAAGACCAGCCGCAAGATTTTCAGAATAATCAGAACTCTGGGTATCTTTGAATGGAATTTCAAAATAAGCTACTTCATGAAACACTCTGACAAAAGTATGAATCATAAAGATTAATATTACAGTGATGACTGTTACAATTTCTAATATTTATTAAGACGGTTACCTAGCACCGTGCTAAACACTTTATATGCATCATTTTATTTAACCCTCATAACAACAGATGACAAAAGTAGCACGATTAGAGTAGGTGCTGATACTGCTGTCCTGGGGAACACACTCTGAGCATCAGTGCCTCAGAGACTGCATGCTTTTTCTCTCCAACCCCACCTCCTGGCTGAGCTTCCTGACTCCGATGGTTCTGGCCATGTAGCATCAAGGCAGAAACACGGGGCCCCAGTCTCTCCCATCAGGCCTGGTCTGCAGGCCTAG